GTTGTTATTTGATTTTCCTGGCAGTTCCCTAGAGACCTCTTCTAGCAGGCTTGCCTTTTGGCTTTTTGTTTTGTTTTGTTTTAACCTGACTGAGAGTTCTCTCACTGAGAACTTTTTCCCTGGGGCATTTGTTAAAAACAAACAGCCTCAATTTTTTAAATTTGCAACAACCTTAAGCAATGATAACACTTAGGACAAACAAATAGTTAACCAAAAAAAACTTAAAAGAAAAAGCTGAGAATAGAATGTCCAAGGAGCTTTTGAAAAGCTCTGGCATATTTCTGGGAATCTAGAAGACCATGTCCAGGAGAATCTTTAGAAGACCCTATGTGCTCACCTTGGCTGACTTTAAGGCTCTGAATAGCAAGAAATAAAATCTAAAGCAGAGTTGTAAACTGCATACCTGACCTTTGGAGGCATGGCTCCGTACATACAGAATACCTCAGCAAAGGCAGAAAGATGTATTGGTTCTAAGTATTTAAAAACTATATCCAATCATTAGATGACTACTAAACTAATGGAACAGTCTTCAATGGTTACACACCACCAAGAATACAGACGTTAAAAAATTAGTTGATAAAAATCACTAAACAGGGCCGGGCGCGGTGGCTCAAGCCTGTAATCCCAGCACTGCGGGAGGCCGAGGCGGGTGGATCACGAGGTCAAGAGATCGAGACCATCCTGGTCAACATGGTGAAACCCCATCTCTACTAAAAATACAAAAAATTAGCTGGGCATGGTGGTGCGTGCCTGTAATCCCAGCGATTCAGGAGGCTGGGGCAGGAGAATTACCTGAACGCGAGAGGCGGAGGTTGCGGTGAGCCGAGATCGCGCCATTGCACTCCAGCCTGGGTAACAAGAGCGAAACTCCGTCTCAAAAAAAAAAAAAAATCACTAAACAAATGAATAGCAGCAACAACAAACCCCAGGGAAGGGGAGAATCTGATTTCCAAACTTGCCACATTATATTATTTAAAGCATCCAGTTTTCAACAAAATATTATGACATATGCAAAGAAACAAGAAAATCTGGCACGCGCACACACACACACACACACACACGCACACACAAATCAGTCAATAGAAATTGTTGCTAAGAAAGCTCCAATGTTGGACTTACTAGACAAAGACTTTAAATCAGCCATTTAAAATATATTTGCGCCAGGCAGGTGACACATGCCTGTAATCCCAACACTTTGGGAGCCTGAGGTAAAAGGATCACTTGAGGCTGGGAGTTCAAGACCAGCCTGGGCTGCACATGGTGGCTCCCGCCTGTAATCCCAGCAATTTGGGAGGCCAAGGCAGGCGGATCACAAGGTCAAGAGATTGAGATCATCCTGGCCAACATGGTGAAACCCTGTCTATACTAAAAATACAAAAATTAGCTGGGTGTGGTAGCATGCAACTGTAGTCCCAGATACTGGGGAGGCTGCGGCAAGGGAATTACTTGAACCTGGGAGGTGGAGGTTGCAGTGACCTGAGATTGCGCCACTGCACTCCAGCCAGGGAACAGAGCAAGACTCTGTCTAAAAACAAAACAAAACAAAACAAAACAAAACAAAAACAGCCTGGACAACATAGTGAGACCCCATCACTACAAAAAAATTAAAAATTACTGGGCATATTGGCATGTGCCTGTAGTTCTAGCTATTCAGGAGGCTGAGGTGGGAGGATTGCTTGAGCCCAGGAGGCTTAGGCTACAGTGAGCTATGATTGTGCCACTGCATTCTAGCCTGAGGGACAGCAAGACCTTATTTTTAAAAAATAGACATATATACATGTATACATATTTTTTCAAAGGGATAAACTATGTCTAAAGAAATAAAGTATAAGAATGATGTGTGAACAGCTAGAGAACATCATAAAGCAATGATTTTTTAAAAAAATATAACTTCTGACTGGGCACAGTGGATCACTCCTGTAATCTCAGCACTTTGGGAGGCTGAGGCAGGCAAATCACAAGGTCAAGAGATTGAGACCATCCTGGTCATGGTGAAACCCTGTCTCTACTAAAATACAAAAAATTAGCTGGGCATGGTGGCACGTGTCTGTAGTCTCAGGAGGCTGAGGCAAGGGAATCGCTTGAACCCAGGAGACGGGGGTTGCAGTGAGCCAAGATCATGCCACTGCACTCCAGCCTGGTGACAGAGCAAAACGTCATCTCAAAAAATATATATATAACTTCTTGAGGTGATAAGTGCAATAACTAAAATGACAAATTCACTAGAGAGGCTAAACATGCAGAAGAAAGAACAAGTGACCTTGAAGAAAGGCTGACATTATCCAGTGTGAGGAGCAGAAAGAGAAAGGAACAGAGCCCTGGAAGCCTGAGGGATATAATCAAGCTTAACAACATAAAAATGATGATAGTCCAGGAAGGAGAAGGAAGAAAGAAAAAGGTGGAAAGATATTTGAAGAAATAATGGCTGAAAATATCTCAAATTTTTTGAAGAATGTTAACATTCATATCCAAGCAACTCAGCAAACTACAAGTAGGACAAACTCAAAGAAATCCACACCTATACACATCATAATCTCCGTCAAAAGCCAAAGACCAAGAGAAAAATTTTTTGAAAGCAGCAAAAGAGATGCAAATCATTAAGTACAAATGATCCTCAGTAAGATTAGCATCTAGTTTCTCATCAGAAAACATGGAGGCCAGAAAACAGTGGGATAACATATTCAAAGTGCTAACACAAAAAAATACCAGCCAAGAATTCTATATCCATAAACACAATCCTTCAGAAATGAAAGAGAGGCCAGGTGCAGTGGCTCACACCTGTAATCCCAGCACTTTGGGACGCTGAGGTGGGTGAATCACCTGAGGTCAGAAGTTCAAGACCAGCCTGGCCAACATGGTGAAACCCTCTCTACTAAAAATACAAAATTAGCCAGGTGTGGTGGTGCATGCCTGTAATCCCAGCTAATGAAGGAGAAAGTAAGACAGACCAACAAAACTAATAAAAACCAAAAGAATTTCTCTCCAGGAGATCCACCCTATAGGAAACACTAAAGGGAATACTTCAGGCTGAAATGAAAGGACACTTAAATCCACATGGGGAAATGAAGAGAACTGGTAAAGGTAACTACACAGGTAACTATAAAGACAGTATAAATATGTGGTTTTGTTTGTAAATCTTTTATTATCCTATATGATTTAAAAGACAACTATGTAAAGCAGTAGTTAATAATAAATAATAACAATATTATATGCTTGATGGTGTGCCACAGGTTTCTGAGGCTCTGTTCCTCTTTTTCTAACTTGTTGAGATAGAGGCTTACTGAATTTCCAGTCTTTCTTCTTTTCTAAGATATGTATTTTAGGCTGCAAATTTCCATCTAAGCAAGGCTTTAGCAGTATCAATTTGTTAAAAATTATATCTAAATGGCCAGGCGTGGTGGCTCATGCCTATAATCCCAGCCCTTTGAGAGGCCGAGGCAGGTAGATCACCTGAGGTCAGGAGTTTGAGACCAGCCTGGCCAACATGGTGAAACCCCATCTCTACTAATAATATAAAAATTTGCCAGGCATGATGGCACAGGCCTCTAATCCCAGCTACTCGTGAGTCTGAGGCAGGAGAATCACTTGACCCGGAAGGTGGGGGTTGCAGTGAGCCGACATCACACCACTGCACTCCAGCCTGGGCTACAAGAACAAAACTCCATCTCAAAAAAAAAAAAAGTATATCTAAGAATAGTATACATACAGAATTCACATTAAGGGTAGCATTGAATGAGGCACCTGGTCAGTACTAAGTGTTTAGTAAATGTTTTTTATTACTACTGTGAATTCTCCTTTGTCTGATGATCATGCTGGGAAGACTCGGGGTGGTGATGCTGTGGCTCTCATCTGCTGGGCCATGGTGATTACTGTATTGCTGGTTTCTTTTGCTGTCTGTATCCTAGAACAGGAGCTTTACTGAGCCATCCATGTCCTCTGTCTGAGACCTTTGCAACTTATAAGGACTGTTCTCTTCCTTTCAGGGGCTGAGATGACTTGCTGACTGAAGCCCCTTTGTAGAGATACAGAGGTATAGTCAAAATGACTGAGATTTTTGTTGCTCATCTTCGAGGAAGATTTGTTGAGGCTTGCTGTTATACACCATATCTTCTATGTAGTTTGCTGGCTTATTCACTGGGTCCTTTGGCCTACTGCAGTTTCAGTTGCTACAGCTCCCTCTGTGACTCAGGGTGGGGAAAAGTACTGGCTTGTCATCTTTGGAGTTACAGTTGGGGACCTGAGGTTCGACAATCAGAGGTTAGAATTCATGGGTTGGGGTTTAGGGATTCGAGATTAGGATTAGGAGGTTAGAAGGTAAGTATCAAGGGCTCAGGATCAAGAGACCAGGTCTAGGATTAAAGGGTTATGAATTTAGGAACTAGGGCCTGGGTTAGGATTGGAACTGATTATCAAAGGAGTTAAGGTTAGAGTAGGGGGTGGTGGTCAGGGGTCAAAACAAAAAGAGAAGAAATGGAGGGGTCTCTGAAGAGACTGGAAAAACTTTCCTCAGAAGTTCCCAAAGGTGGAGGGGGTATCAGGAAACTATTGGGAAGTAGCTTCTTATTGCTGCAGAGAGAGAAGCCATGAGGAGTTAGGGACAAACCTTCCAAGAGGGCATTACCCGTGTAGCAGATACTGAAGTCAGTTAAATGTGCAAGTAAGTATTTAAACTGATGATGGTTATCGTTTATATTCACTCTTCTCATTCTCAGTGATTCCCTCAAAAAAAACCCCAAGAAACAAAAACACTTTTTTAACCGCCTTTATTCATCCTGCCACAATGGACCCCGATCCATTCTCCCTGTCCTCATCCTCTGCATACATCACAGTACCCACCAAGAATACACCCAGTTCTCATCTCCTCACCCTGGACTACTACAATAGACTCCATAGTAACCCAATCCACACCTTACTGCCCAGATTCCTAATGACACGTCCAAGGTCGTTATAACTTGCTTCCCTCATGACTTATGTACACCTGGGCTCCAGCCAAGGATCCTTCGTGCCAGTGTATCGCTCCGAGCTCAAAACACTTTGAAGGGCTGCCTTCAAAGCACTCGAGATCGAGCGCTGAAGTTCTTTGCCCTCCGTGTACTTTTGACAAATACTGGGCATCAACCATGTTCCAGGCACTACCCTAGGCAAAGAAAATAACGAGATGGGCAAGGTTTCCGTCTGTGTTCCTGCTAGCGGACATCACCCGCGCCGGGCTGCCACCCTGAACTGCCCGTCCGGTCCTCTAGGTTCAGCCACTTGGCGGAGCGCCGCACGGCACCCGACACGGCACTCCCTCCCGCAGTGGGCGCCATGCTGGCTTCCGAGAAGCGGTTCTCACAAGCGAGTTCCATCGCCCAATACGGCTTCATCTTCTACTGCCGTCCGCAGCAAGAGCACGGGCCGAGGCCAGCCCACGGCTCTTCACTGCGCGTCTCACACCGCAGCGCAACCAAGCGAGGACCCCGAGGTGAGCTGCCCGGCGAGCGCCTGAAGGACCCCGCGAGGGCCGCAGGCTATCCAGCGTGGCGCCTGGTGGCCGAGCCCGGTGTGGGAGGACCAGGTAAACCCGGCGCTGGAGTCCCGCTACACTGGGGCTCCGAAAGACCCAGAATCTGGGGTGGACTAGGCCCCGGGTACGAGGGGTGAGGGTTGCGCAGTCGTAGGCCTAGAGAAATAGGGGGCCGGGTCGAGAGCTGAGGCCGTGAGCCTTGGGGGCTGGAGGGCGTGGCCACAGGGGTAGGGGCGCAGGTCTCGGCCGCGCGTAGGTAAACCAGGGCAGGGCAGCCGCCCTCCAGGAATCCGAGTGGTGGTCCGCTCAAGGGCTGAGGGGCAAATGTACTGACAGCTTTAACATTTTTAATTCTCTGATGGAGTCACCTTTAAGTCGAGCAGGTTTTTCGACTTGTCAGTTTCTTGTAAACCGACAGTCAGGACAGCCACAACTTAGATGCATTAGGAAAGGAATCATGTCCTCCCTACAGGCCGCATGTTCTTGCCACGAGAACCCCTAGCAGCCTAGCCTTGGAGTAGCTGGATCAGGTGCATTCGTTGGTTCATTCAGATACTGTTAAGAGCCAGCTCTGTGCTAGGCAGTTCTTACATCTTCTGGTGGGGAAGACACTGAGAACTTGCACGGAGCTGTGAGAAAGTATAACGGGAAGTGAGCTAAGATCTCGAAGGTGAGCAGGAGATAACCAGAGAAAGCACGTCCGGGACTGCGAAAACTACTCACACAAAGGCCGTCAAGCCAGAAAGTCTTTCGAAACTGAAAGGCCCATGACGTTGGAGCTAGCGAAACTTAAGGAGTGTGGGGTTCCAGATGAGGCTAGAGAGGTAGGTGGGGACCACAAGATCATGCAGAGCCTGGGAGGCCATGATAAGGATTTTGGTTGTTATTCTAAGAGCAGGGTGCCCTTTAAAGCGTTAAGGAGGAAACCTTATGATTAGATTTGCATATTTAGTTCACTTTGCTGCTGTGTGGAGATTGTAGAGGTTAGCACGTCAGAAACTGGGAGACCAGTGAGGAGGCTGTTAAGATGTCCGGAGGGGAATGATGATGTCTTGGAGTTAGGGTGGTAGCAGCTGAGGGGGAGAGAATAGTATGGGTTTGGAGATATATTAGGTGGGAAAAATTGCCAGAAGTTGGTGATAGTGTGGATATGAAGAGTGAGGGAGGGGAGGTGTCATGAATGTCTCTGTAGACAACTGCTGAAAATGATGTTACCACCTGTGGCATTAGGGAGAATGCATTGGGTGATCTTGTACTAGTTAGATTGGGCTTGGCTTTATGGTTTGGGTGGAAAATCGGGTTGAAAGGTGTAGAAAGAACATGAATAGAAGAGACTATGGCATAGTTTCTTTGTTTGGGCCAGATTCTAATACCACCTTTAACAGGACTGACAGGCTTTAGGGTAAGATAAAAGAGAATGTTGTCTAGACTCTGTCCCTGCTTGTGTTAATGGAAAATGGAAACCTTCTATGTATTTGTTGACAAATGAGAGATTTTACACACACACACACACACACACACACACACACACAGAGAGAGAGAGACAGAGAAAGAGAGAGAGAGGAGAGTCAGGGTCTTGTTTTGTTGCCCAGCTCAAAATCCTGACCTCAAGTACTGATATTACAGGTGTGAGTCACCACACATGGCCAAATGAGAGATAATGTTGAGATAAGACTTGAGACAAAGGCTTTACTCCCATCACATATAACTCGGATTCTACAGTTGGAAAAGACCTCAAAATTCCCTTAGTCCAGTTTATAAAATGCTTTTATGTCCATTATGTCATTTCTACAAAGTTGAGCACTTGTAGCATGCTAGACCCTAGGTATACAAAGATGAATAGAAATAAGACTATATAGGTTTATTTAGTAAATAAAATTGATCAAGCACCTTTGTGCCCGGCACTGTTTCAAATGCAAAATGGTTATGACTTGTTCCTGTCATTGGAGCTGCATGTTGACAAGTCTTGCCACTGAGGACAGCTGAGTGTATTAACAGGTTGCTTTGGGCACAGGAGATCCTGATCTCTCCATAATATTAGATAAGAGATGCTGTATATCCAGCAGACTTTTTGGTATCCTGGCAGCACCTCAGTTCCTGTCCATCAGTCTTCCAATTCTAGATTTGATAGGAGAGCACTATGGGATGGAGGATTTTAAGAGATGAATTCATCATTATACCCTGTGAATAGGCTGTTTAGGAGTATAAATTGTAAATCCTCTATAAAATACAAAAGAAAGGAAGGGATATTGGCAGAGACAGTATTTAAACTTGAGTTTCTCTTGAATGGGTAACTCTCTTATAGGCTTACAGTTGCACCAAATTATATACTCCATGGGGCAACTTGAATGCTCCCTCTACCACTCCCTTCACTTGATCCCATGAGCCCAAATGGGGAATTAAATAAAATAATCTGTATGACCTTAAGATGAAACTGTCACATTCTTTATGAGTGTCAGGAGTGAGAGCGATTGGCTTGCAAGGCTGCATGGCTCCAGTGTAGGGAAGGCTGGGAGTGCAGTCCTGAAGGGTTCCTAATACACCTCTCTAATGGCAGGAGTGAGATGGCCTCAATCTTGCGAAGCCCTCAGGCTCTCCAGCTCACTCTAGCCCTGATCAAGCCTGATGCAGTCGCCCATCCACTGATTCTGGAGGTAAGACTGAATCCTAAACCTCTACCTCATGCCCTTGGAATTGCCACTGCTTCAGGTGCCATTCGGCCACTTGTGACTGACAGCACAGACTTGTGCTGGATGCTGTGGAGGCAAAACTAGATGCCATGAACTCTGACCTAAGGACACTAAAAATCTATTGGAGACTTGAGGCAGATCTAAAATATAAGAAAGGACCCAATGCAATAATAGAGAGAACCAAATCTCAAGACAATGTACATGTGTTCGTTTCTATTGCTACATAACACATTACTCCAGACTTAAGAGCTTAAAACAATACTCATTTATTATTTCACAGTTCTATAGTTTAGAGGTCCAGTAGGCTTGGCTGAGTTGTTTCCTTAAGGTCTCAGGAGGCCAAAGTCAAGATATTGGCTGACCAGGCCCTTATCGGGAGAGTCTGGGGGAAGAATCCACTTCCAGGTTCATTCAGGTTGTTGGCAGAGTTCATGTCCTTATGATGGTAGGACTGAGGCTGCCATTTCCCTGTTGGCCTTCAGGCAGGAATTACTCCCAGTGTCTAGAGACCACTCACATTCCTCATCACATGGCCCACTGCATCTTCAAGATAGCTACAGTGCATCGAATCCTTATGCTTTGAATCTCTCTGACTTCTTCAGCCTTTAGCCCGAGAAAATGCTTGGACTTGAGAAGCCTTCACAGTTCTAATCCCACAGGGCTCATGTGATTAATTAGACCCACCTGGATAATCTCCCTTTTGATTATAGCAGAATCAACTGATTAGTAACCTTAATTATACCTACAAAATCCCTATTGTTATGTGATGTAACATAATCACATTGCATCACATTCACAGTCCTGGGGATTAGGGTGGGAAATCCTGGTGGGGCTTGGGATCATTTTCACATTCTGCTTACCATAGTTTGATAAGGTGCTCACTAACTGAGCAGCACTGCTAAGTAAGCCTACAATGGTGCAGAGGAAGATCAGGCAGTCAGGAATGGGGGCCTGGAAGTGGCAGGACTCACCTGGGCCTCAAAGGAACTACCCAACACCTGACCAGAATGTGACATGTAAATTACAGAGTTTCTCATCTATCAAGTGTGATAGTTTGGAAGCAGTGAGAGAAACTCAAGGCAGGACCACTAAGAAGACTTTTACGGTGATCTGAGTGGTGGGTCCTGTGGTCTTGAGCTCAAGGAGCTACAGGTATGGAAGGGCAGAGACAGCACACCCTGTCCCTTTTCACCCAAGGCGCACACTCTTGCTCTGTGACTAGAGGTCTTGACCTTACTCCACCTCATCTTCTCACCCCCCAATATGACAAACCCTCAAGTCCTGAGCAACAGTGGGTACTCGTGGTTTCTTTTGGTCAGTTTTGGTATCCTGATTAATTTTTATTTTGGGGGGGGTGGTTTATTCAGGCTGTTCATCAGCAGATTCTAAGCAACAAGTTCCTGATTATACGAATGAGAGAACTACTGTGGAGAAAGGAAGATTGCCAGAGGTTTTACCGAGAGCATGAAGGTAGGATCAACAATCCTCAGAATGGAAGGTGCCTCAATCCCAAGAGCCCTGTAAGAGTGATTTTACCTGGAACACAATGGCAGGCTCTCTGACCTACCAACCATGTACAGTTGCAGCCAGTTTTCTGAAATCTTGGTTTAAAACACACATTTTTCATGATTATCCATCTTTTTTTTCCCAAGAAGGGTTCCACCTTATAGTCCTAACCAGAAACTTAGTTTTATGTCGTGATAATATCACTAGTTAACATATAGTGCATGGATGTTTACCATCAGACACTGTCCTAGTGCTCATTTTTTCATTCAGTTTTCCCAACAACTCTAAAAAGTAGGTGTTGTTATATACCCTGTATACAGATTAGGAAGCAAAGTTACGTTTAGAAGGTTAATGATTTACCCAAAACTACGCAGGTTGTAAGTGTCAGAGCCTGGATTCACACCCAGGTTTGTCAGACTCCAAGGTCCTTGTTCTCGTCTCTAAAACAATTTTTATTTTTATTATTCTAGGTAAGGAGGTAGAAGGACAGAAAGTTGCCTTGGGCACCAGGATGAAGGTATCCTGATGAAGGTCCTCTCTTTTTGCAGGGCGTTTTTTCTATCAGCGGCTTGTGGAGTTCATGGCCAGGTACTTCTAATTTAGTTCCAGCATCTTTATCCACTGAGGCGAATCTCCCCTGCCACTAAATGGATTTGTTAATTTCACTGCCATTCTTTAAAGCTGTAGTCAGGCCAGATACGGTGGCTCACTCCTGTAATCCCAGCACTTTGGGAGGTCGAGGCAGGTGGATCATTTGAGATCAGGAGTTCAGACTAGCCTAGCCAACATGGTGAAACCCCATCTCTACTAAAAATACAAAAAATTAGCCAGGCATGGTGGTGGGTGCCTGTAATCCCAGCTACCCGGGAGGCCGAGGCAGGAGAATTGCTCGAACCCAGGAGGTAGAGGTTATAGTGAGCCAAGATCATGCCACTGCACTCCAGCCAGCACAACAAGAGTGAAACTCTGCCTCAGAAACCCCAAAAATACAAAACAATTAGTTAGGCATGGTGGCAGGTGCCTATAATCCCAGCTACTCGAGAGGCTGAGGCAGGAGAATCACTTACACTTGAGAAGTGGAGGTAGCAGTGGGCCAAGATTGCACCACTGTACTCCAGCCTGGGTGACAGAGTGAGACTCCATCTCAAAAAATAAAATAAAAGTTGTAATCAATGTCAAGTCTGAAGAAATGGGTTTGGGGCTGTCACCAAGCTGATGCTGACCTGTTAGGCCCCTGTCCTGTGGTGGTTACTGGACCAGTGGCTGTAGAAGAGTCCCATCGAATGCTGTGTAGCCACCCTACTGATCTCTGCATGCTTTATGTACACCAGCAAGGGCCTTGTATCACCTACTTGAAGCAGCGTTGGCATTCGGCTGGAAAGGCAGGAAAACTCTCAGAACATAGAGTGTGTCTTTATTCAGGCCCTGCTCACAGCACACCCTTCTAGTCCAGATGGCCAGATTCCTTACATGTGCTCATTTTGTTCACAGCGGGCCAATCCGAGCCTACATCCTCGCCCACAAGGATGCCATCCAGCTCTGGAGGACGCTCATGGGACCCACCAGAGTGTTCCGAGCACGCTATGTGGCCCCAGATTCCATTCGTGGGAGTTTTGGCCTCACTGACACCCGCAATACCACCCATGGCTCTGGTAAGTCAGCCTCCCCTGTCCACAACCACAAATAAGCAGGATATTTTGGGGTTAGTGAGCAGACTGTGTGGTAGAGTTGACAGCCAGGTCTCTCCAGTGAGCTTTCTTCCATTTGTGTTTCTGGTCTTTGTAGCCATGTTGGCAGATGTGGCCTGTTGACTTTCTTTACATGCCCCAGGACTGAAGGGGCAGACGAAGTAGAGGCTTAGGTTTCTGAACCTGATTATGACTGCCTCTTGCTTCTACCATGTGATAACCCCTTCTCTGTCTTATCTCCCCTTACAGACTCTGTGGTTTCAGCCAGCAGAGAGATTGCAGCCTTCTTCCCTGACTTCAGTGAACAGCGCTGGTATGAGGAGGAAGAGCCCCAGTTGCGCTGTGGCCCTGTGTGCTATAGCCCAGAGGGAGGTGTCCACTATGTAGCCGGAACAGGAGGCTTAGGACCAGCCTGATGCAGTCTAGGAAGACCAGTGGCAGCGCCCAGAATTTTCTCCTAGATGTCTAGTCTAAAACAGTCTCCTGGGACCAGGGAAGCCTGGGCTCATAATGCCATTTCTGCTGGGCGTCACCACCTGCCTGAGGGCCTAGCTTACCACTGAACATCCTCCAGAATCTAGCTTTCTATCTACCTCTTCTCTGGAATGTTCATGGTGGTTCAGAAGAATGATGACTCCTCTTTTTACTGAGAACTGTTCATCCTTCAATAAGCTTGCCTAACTGACTTGCCTGAAGAATGCAGTGACTCTAAGCAACATTTGGCCTGTCTTCCTCAATAAATGTCAGTGTTCTGAACCCTTTATGCTGCCACATTTAGGGGGAACTTTTCAGGCTTCATCATTCTGACCTCTCAGCAGTATTCAGAATTGCTTCATTCTGTAGAAACACTCTCTTCTGTTGGAGTTTCTGATCCCACACCCTTGGTTTTCTCCTTCTCTGCCTTTCCTTCATCTCCTTTATCAGATTATGCAAACATTTATTTTCATAAATTTTCTATTCAAGACATACTGAAAAATACAAAGACAGTTAAGAAGTGATTGGGTCCTCAAGTTGCTAATTATGAATTTGGGTAGTGAGCCAACTATAATGTGGCAGAGATGGAGACGTGCCCTAACAGAGTTATGAAGTCCTGTGGGAGAACAGAGGAAAGGTTTCCTTTGGCTAGGTGAGGAGGTGAGGGAGATAGGGTGGGAAGGCTTTTATAAAAGATGTAGCTGGCATTGGAACTAAGCCTCAAGATCAAATATGGCATCCATAGCAGGGCTCTGGAGCACTAGGCAATCTGTTTGTTTTCAGGAATATATGGGTCAGTTTGGTATGTATGTGTGACCCAAGAAACCTGCGACACTTCTTATGACAGGTCTTGACTTTTCTTTCTCAGTACATATATATTTTTCTCCTTTTGGTGGCCTTGAAACCTTTTAGTTGAAAACTGCCTTCACTATCTACCACTTTCACTAATGGTAGACCAGGAAATTTGGACCCACTGAACAGAAAACAACTAGAAAAGCTGTGCAAAACAGCGTCTATCTGAACGCATCAGCTGCCAATATAGGACCAAAATTCAGGACAAAGAAACTCAGAGAAGTGAGTCTGGGACTTAGAGCCTCTCTTCCCATAAGGGTACCTGCTGATCTGGAAGAGGCAGCTGAGAGGTTAAGAAACTGAGCAGAACTTTCAATAACTTGTGTTAGGGAGCCAGCTACATGAATGCTGGCAGAAGACACAGATTCCTTGGGCAGAGACTAGTGCTCAGGGCACAGCAGGCAGCGTGTTTGCCTTGGTCCTCCTTGCCCTCCAAGACCCACAGGGCAACACTGGCAGGCCCAGGTGAGTGTTACACACAGTAGGTTTGCATCATGGCTAAGGAACCACAATCTTAGGGAGATACTATCTCTGTCTTCTAAGGCCATTTGCTGTACAAAAATCCCTGAAATAGTCTGGAACAAAAATCTGTTCAACATCAGGCCGCAAGACACCCAGAAAGACAAGAGACACAGAATTATCTCCCAATAAAACTGCATCTCATTTAATGGGAGTTGGGTTTCTGTAGAGAAGAAACCTGGCTCCCATAAATATGGAAAGGGAGAAAACTAGAATAAACCAGTAATATCTGGAATTGGAGATATCAGTGTGAACTCATGTTTTATAGCAATATATGTAAATATGTTTTTGTATGTATGTAGGCACGTATAGTCCCTTGCACTGACCGGAGAGCAGTGACACTCCAATGGTAATGACCACACCCAGCACCCAGATCCACCAAAAGACAAATGCTATGGTCTGAATTATATCCCCCTAAAATTCATATGTTGAAGGCCTAACCCCCCAATGTGATGATATTTGGAAGCAGAACATTTAGGAGATAATTAAGTTTAGATGGCTAGGTGCGGTGGCTCACACCTGTAATAATCCCAGCACTTTGGGAGGCTGAGGCAGGCGGATCACCTGAGGTCAGGTGTTGGACACCAGCCTGGCCAACATGGCAAAACCCTGTCTCTACTAAAAATACAAAAATTAGCCAGGCATGGTGATGCATGCCTGTAACCCCAGCTACTCGAGAGGCAGAGGCAGGAGAATCACTTGAACCTGGGAGGCAGAGGTTGCAGTTAGCCAAGATTGTGCCATTGCACTCCAGCCTGGGCAACAAGAGCAAAACTCTATCTCAAAAAAAAAAGTAGATGAGGTAATGAGGGTGGGATCCTCGTGATGGGATCAGTGCCTTTATAAGAAAAGGGAGACCCGAGAGCTCTGCATGCATGCACCTAGGAAAGGTGCTAGGAGCACAGAGCAAGAAGGTGGTCATCCACAAGCTAAGAAGAGAGCCCTCACCAGAAACCAAACCTAGCCAGATCTTGACCTTGGAATTTCCAGCCTCCAAAACTATGAGAAGAAAAATTTCTGATTTTTAAGCCACTCAGCCATACCATGTAATTTTTTGTTATGGCAGCCCAAGCTGCCTGAGACACATAAAAATGTTCATAGAAGCTTTATTCATAATAACCAAAAACTAAAACAACTCAGATGTCTATCAATAGCAGAACTAATAAACTCTGATATATGCATATAATGGAATTCTCCTCACCAATAGAAAAGAATGAACTACTTGGATCTCAAAAAGGTGCTGAGTCATAAAAAAGAATTCAGTCATGTCTTTTGCAGCAACATGGTTGGAGGTAAAGGCCATTATCTTTTTTTTTTTTTTAAAGACAGAATCTCGCTCTGTTACCCAGGCTGGACGACAATAGCATGATCTCAGCTCACTGCAACCTCTGCCTCCCAGGTTGAATTGATTCTCCTGCCTCAGTTTCCCCAGTAGCTGCGATTACAGGTGTAAGTCACCACACCCAGCTAGTTTTCATGGTTTTTTTGTTTTTGTTTTTTGGTTTTTTTTGTTGTTTTTGGGACGAAGTTTGCCCAGGCTGGAGTGCAGTGGCACAATCTCAGCTCACTGCAACATCTACTCCCAGGTTCAAGCAATTCTTCTGTCTCAGCCCCCCAAGTAGCTGGGATTACAGGTGTGAGCCACCACACCTGGCTAATTTTCATGGGGTTTTTTTTTGGGGGGGGGGGGGTTGTTTTTGTTTAGGACAGAGTTTCGCTCTTTTTGCCCAGGCTGAAGTGCAATGGTGCAGTCTCAGCCCACTGCGACCTCTGCCTCCCAGGTTCAAGCAATTCTCCTGCCTCAGCCTCCCAAATAGCTGGGATTACAGGTGCATGCCACCCCCAGCTAATTTTGTAGTTTTAGTAGAGTCAGGGTTTTACCACGTTGGCCAGGCTGGTCTTGAACTCCTGACTTCCAGTAATCCACTCACCTCAACTTCCCAAAGTGCTGGGATTATAGGCGTGAGCCACCACGCCTGACTGTATTTGTATTTTTTATTTTTTTTTTGAGAAGGAGTCTCGCTTGTGGTCCAAGCTGGAGTGCAGTGGTGCCATGTTGGCTCATTGTAACCTCCGCTTCCTGGGATCAAGCAATTCTCCTGCCTCGGCCTCCCAAGTAGCTGGGATTACAGGCCCACATCACCACAACCAGCCAGTTTTGTATTTTTAGTAGACACGGGGTTTCACCATGTTGCCCAGGCTGGTCTTGAACTCCTGAGCTGAGGCAGTCCTCCTCCTTGGTCTCCCAAAGTGCTGGGATTATAGGTGTGAGCCATGTGCCCAGCCACGGAGGCCATTATCTTAAGTGAAATAACTCAGAAACAGTCAAATACCCCATGTTCTTACTTATAAGTGGGAGCTAATGTGTACACCTAGAGAGAATAGAATAATAGACACTAGAGACTCAGAAAGATAGGAGTAGAGTGAAGGATGAGAAATCACTTAATGGGTACAATATACCTATTTGGGTGATGGATACCCTAAAAGCCCGGAATTCACCACTACCTAATATGTCTATGTAACAAAACTATACTTGGTGAATCTGTGGTGGAACAGATCAAAAGAATGATTGCTTTTGGGGGGCATGATGTAGAGCACAAGGGAACTTTGTTGGATGATGGAAATGTCCTTTATCTCAATCTGGGTAATGGTCACATGGGTGTGTGCATTTGTCAAAAGTCATCCAGCTATACCTTTAAGATTTGTGTATTTTGTGATATGTAGTGTTAGAATTTTTTAAAAAAGACTTGCTATGTTGCTATGTCCCAACACTACCAATAACAAACCCACTAAGTAAAGTTCAGAATTCCTTTGCAGTTCTTTTTGTTCTTAGAATAGATCTCACTGAAGGCGTGTAGTCAGGGTATTCACATTTTATTTAGAGTAATTTTTTTTTTTTTTTTTTGAGATGGGGTTTCACTCTGTCACCCAGGCTGGAGTGCAGTTGTACATTCTCGGCTCACTGCAACCTCCACCTCCTGGGCTCAAGTGATTCTCCTGCCTCAGCCTCTAGTAACTGGGACCACAGGTGCACAACACCATACCCACCTAATTTGTGTATTTTTTTGTAGAAATGGGGTTTCGCTATATTGCCCAGGCTGGTCTTGAACCCATGGACTCAAGGGATCCACCCACCTAGGCCTCCCAAAGTGCTGGGATTATAGGCATGAGCTACCGTTGCCCAGCCTAGATTAATTCTTTTCATCTCTTTGTGTTTTTTCTAAATTTGATATTCAATAAGTTTCATTTATTTCTATTTTGGATTTTTTATGAACTAAATTATTTTAAGTTCATTTAAATTGATTTAACTTCATTTATTTTGAATATGCAAAACATTAACATGATTCAAAATTCAGAACTATAGGAAAAGCAACACTAGAAGTCCCAATCTCTCCCCTTTTCACTTAAACCCTGCAACAGGGGTCCCCAACTCCCAGACCTCGGACATTACCACCTAGGCTCGCCTCCTGTCAGATCAGCAGCGGCTTTAGATTACCGTGGGAGTGCGAACCCCATTGTGAATTGTGCATTCAGGGGATCTAGGTTATGTGCTCCTTATGAGACTCTAATTAACCTAATGATCTGAGGTGGAACAGTTTCATCTTGAAACCATCCCCCATCCCTAGTCCGTGGAAAAAACTATCTTCCATGAAACTGGTCCTTAGTGCCTGAAAAGTTGGGGACCAGTGCCCTGCAAAACCTATTCCCTATAGCAAACCAATTGTAGCCTGGGCAACATAGTGAGACCCTGTCTCTATAAAAAGTAAAAATAGGCTGGGCACGGTGGCTTATGCCTGTGATTCCAACACTTTGGGAGGCCGAGGCAGGTAGATCACCTGAGGGCAGGAGTTCGAAACCAGTCTGGGCAACATGGTGAGACCCCTGTGTCTACAAAAATTAAAATTAAAAAATTAGCTG